TTTTTTTTTTTTGTTTGGACCCGTAAACATTATGGAAAATTAATTCTAAAGTAGTTGCATTAAAGCAAAAAATCCTTTTGAGTTTCAATGTGATATTTTCCATTAAATGCGGTCTAAAATGGTAAGTTATATAGTGTAAATTAGTGAGAGGGTAACAATACACATATCATGACTTGCATTGCGTTTGCATCTAATTTTGGTTTTGAAATGTTATTAGCCTCTCATTTCTCACAAAGCCAAATCCCATTTTCCGATTGATCATTTCGCATCATTCATTTTTTTCATGCAAACAAGCTTTTATATTTCTATCTACAAGTCGTTGCTTGCCTCCTCCACCTCCTCCTCCTCCTCCAATTGTACACCGCTCCTCACCTTCTCATGGAGGAGCGGGACTGCCCGTCCGAGGATGGGAAAGATGAACCAGCACCGTCCAACTCCATGGCTCTAGTATCCGGACCACTCCCACTTGAAAATTCCGAAACCTACATTGTCCAGATTCCTCGTGATCAAGTATACCGCATTCCACCACCAGAAAACGCTGAAATTGTCGAGAGCTACCGCCGGCCGGCCCAAGATAAGAAGAAGAAGACTAATTTTGGCGGATCTTGTTGGTGGATTATCATGGCCTTTGCCCTCATAGGCCTCACGGTAGGCATTTCTGTTGGAGTTGTACGTGCTCTGTACAACCCTAAACATCCAACTTTTTCTGTCACACAAATTCATGTCAAGAATTTGGAACAATCCGTCAACGGTCATCATGGTTCCGGATCCTCGCCGGAATATGACGTCACATTACAAGCCCATAACCCTAATGAAAGAATGGATGTTTCTTACAAAGGAGCTGCCGGAAAAGCCTCCATTGAATTCAACAAACAGAAAATTGCACGAGGAGGAGTTCCAAATCTGACCCAAGATCCCAATAGCTCAACAAATATTTCCTTGATCTTGCATGGCATAAAGGGGTCAATTTCTAAGGATATCGTAAATAGCCTCAATGATACAAAGCCAAAATCCATGCAGTTGAAGATTGAAGTGCCAATGGAGGTTAAAAGCTGGGCCAAGACAGTGCAAAAGGACATGAACATTACTTGTGATTTCAAGGTAGATTCATTATTAAGAAAAAAGACAAAGGTTTTATCAGAAGAATGCCAAACCAATTTCTAACCAAAGAAA